CCCGAGCACGCGTACACATACACACTCTCAAACACACACACAAAAACAAACATACACACACGAAGAAAAACACACACCCACGCATTTAACACGGGGCGCCCTAACTGTCACTGATCCACTGTTTGTGCTCACAGCCTCTGGCATGAATACAGCAGAAATACCCTGATAATACCCATGATGCAGCAGTGCACATACATGTGAGAGCACGCACAGATGTCTTTTGTCCAGCAGCTCAGAGACATGTGGAGCGCAGAGGACTTGTTGGCAGGTCACACAATACTTTGAGTGTGGTTTGTTGTTGACTCTGAGACTTGCCCCTGTAACTGACTGCATCAGTGCTGTAGACTATGCGGTTTGACCTGTCAGGTTACATCATTGCCAAAATGGCAGTGAACACACTCAGAGGCACACCCATCATTGAAAGGTGTGAGGTGATTGGCTGAGCCAGTGGAACAATGAGAGGGAGAGATCTCACAGTTAAGAGAGGGATTTTCTGTTTACTTGTTACTGTTGGCAGCGAGGTGCGTCACCTGGCAAGAGGTCATGAACTGATTTAAACCGCTTCTACATTATTAAAAACTAATGGTGCTGTAATAAAATAAGATCATTAGGCCTGTAAGCACTATCAATTAGTTTCTGATTAATAATTTAGTGTATTAAATGTCACAGGTTGACATCTTCAGATTGTTTATTTTGCCCCTTCAGAGCAACTGATGGTTCCCATTCATTTCAATGTTAAGAAAAATCAGTGCACTTCAAACTTCGCTGATCCATTTCCTCCCACTGCACAAAAATGAAGCCAAAATATCATGGATATGGCCACAGTCGTCTTGTGCTGGTGACGTCATTTGGAGCCAGAGCCTGCGGTATCAAGTTCCCGCCTTTACACCTCTCCAACCAATCACAAGCAGCGGCATTAACCACGAGCACAGCAACTGGCACATATAGCTGTCAATCATGATGTCACACCCCCTTTGCAGCATAAGAAAAACTAATTAGAACCAAACTTAGAAGAAAACCGTACACTTAAATATCTGCGTGCTAAGACCTACTGAAAATGGCAGAAACCATCTTTGGGAAAAAATTTAATTGACGTGTACTTTGTTCTTTTGGGCGGGGTTTATAACCTATACTGCAGACAGCCACTTTATTGTTATGCAGCCTTTAAAAGCAGGAAAAGACGACACTTATTAGATCTCTAAAATATAAGACGATACAGTCTCATGTCATGATATCGACATAATATCAATATTTTACTTGAGTTGTTATATCCAACAGAGCAAGGCTGTAACTAATTAATACTCTTTCTAATATTTTCTTGGATCTGAGCTCTTGTTTTATTCCACTTTAATTTCTGTCTGGTCGTAGTTTGGCCTTATTATTTGGCTTCTATTGTTGTATTGCCTCTGCTTCTGCTTTGTTTGTCAAAGCACTCTGTAAACTATTTTTAAAAGTGCTACATTAATGAAATTATCAATATAATTACAGATGAATCTGTCTCCAAACTGTTTCCATTAATCAACCATTTTGTTTATAAAATGTTAAAAAATAATGAAAATGTCCATCACATTCTCAGAGCTCAAAATGACACACTAAAACTTCTCGTGTTGTCTGACCAGCGGTCCAAAACTCAAAGATAATAAATATACAATGATATAAAACTAAGAGAAGTAGCAAATCCTCATATTTCAGAAGCTGCAAACGCTGTTTTTATCTGGATAAGTGACTTTAACACTTATGAAAATGTTAATGATTCATTTTCTGCTGATAAACAGCCTCTTCAGCACTGGAGCTCACGGGTGAAGAGTGCAATATGAAGCAGACCAGAGGTCAGAGAGGAAAGAGACAAAAATGCTGCTGAAGACTGAGTATCTCCTTTGGATTGCCACTTTATTCCATCCCATTGAACCTGAGCACTCAGTCCAAGACTCCAGCGGGGGTTTAGGTTGATTATTCTTTAATGCACAGCTGTTGGCACTCGAGGGTGGCCTCGTGTTATGACAGCCTGTCCTGTAAAAGGTTCGACCCCAGCGACAGCTGCTCGTCCTGCCTCAGTGTAGAGCTGCCACTTGTTAATATTCTCTATAATGATTAAAATATTGAGTATTATTCTGATTAATGAAACAAAGTTTAGTCTAATGAATGGCCAAAATGATGTCTCCAAACTGTTTCTTTGTCAACTAAATCTAGTGCTGACACAATTAGTTAATTAACTGGCAGAAAACTTCTCTGCAACAAATGTAATAATCATTCAGACTTGTTTAATAAAGCAAAAATACTGATCAGCCTCTGGTTACAACTTCTCAGATTCTTAAACTCCTCAAAACTTGAACATGTGAAGATTATCCTTCAGACTCTCGGAAGATTTTAATCTGTCATGATTAGATGACAAATCAGAAAAAAATAATCTACCATTAAATGAATAATGTCTGTTTATGAATATCCTTGGGTCTGCAATTTCAAGGTACTGTATTCATATTAGTTATTACCCATGCAGAGCTGCTCACGCACAGTAGGCCTGTGTTTGGAATGTAAAGAGTCTGTAAGACGGTTTACAGGTTTCCTCCCTCACAGCTTTTCCCATCGTCTTAAATCATTGGCAGTGTGACAACAAAAGGTCTGTGACAGGGAAAAATGCCTTCTAGACAAAACACTGATGACATCAATGTGACACTCGAGGACAGAGGGCGTGCACGGCGGAGCCAGCATGTGTAGGAAAGTTTGCCATCACCAGTCGAACACGTTCTCATCTATGAGGCCTCACACGAGAGCCAGTCAGACGAGATCAAGGCAGCCGACCGACACTTAAATATAGCCATTTATCTCAATCAGGTTTATTTTCATGTACGCAGGTGAATGGGAGGAAGAATGCTGTTGTTTTAGGCACAGTAACACCTGTCTATTTAAGCTCTTACCACAAACTGTTTTGTCTGGCATTAACCCTTTGAATTCTGCCACAGAGACAATCCATCAGTGCATATTCTGGTATTTTTGCTTATTGTGATGTCATTTCCTGGGGTATTTTCAAATGTTTAATATCCCTATAATCTACACAACCTGGGCTAAAAGGTTATGTCAGTCAATAAACAATAATAACTGATAAAAGTATTGACACTGTGTCATACATTTAAAAAAATACAAAAATCTGACATGTTTATCATCAAATTTGAAAAATAAACACACAAGTCATACGGATCCAAAATTATTTCTAAATGTACAAGCACGATAAAAACATTTTTTAACACTCCATAAGTTATTTGAACTATGTGCATTTTTAAGTTTTTCAGATATGATCATTCTTTAAGCAAAGTGCAAAGCAGTTTTGATAGTTTGATCTGCAGTAGAAATATTTTCCCAGGGTATATGGTGGTATATTTTGTCTTTTCATACCCCTAACCTAAAAGCTAAAAGATTGTGTAAGTAAATAAACCATAATAAGAATAAAATAATCAAAATGTATTGAAACTGTGTCATAAATAAAAATTTTCTGCGCCAGTGCACGTTTTCACGGTCTTCTGGACCGCTTGTAGCATAACGCAATGATGTCATCGCAAGTAGACAATGTGATGACGCAAAAGACAGAAGTCTCAGCTTTCTGCTGCTGCACAAAATGAACGCTGTAGCTATTACAGTTCTTTTTTATTTTAGATCGATTTAAACAGAATCAGGTTAACAACAATCTCCCGTTGCCATGACAGGACAATACTGTGACTCATCATGTGTTTTCACCATCTTTTGGACCACTTGTAGCATTGCATAACGATGTCATTGCAAGTGGACAGTGTGGTGGAGTGAAACACAGACATCTTAACTTTCTGCTGCAAAAAAATGAACGCTCTAGCTATTATAGTTTTTATTTTAGATCGATTTTAAACAAGACCATGAAAACAACAACCCCCTGCAGCCGCCCACGGGAGCTCTGTTCTCAGAGGGTTAGTAAGTATGAAATGTGGCCACTGCGAAACAAGGCGGGCAACAAGATAAACCAATACGCTCGTAGAAACAGGCGCGTGTAACAACATGAGAAACATACTGATTGACTCGCCTCAAGAAAACTCATTTTCTGTCTTGAAGTCCAAATTAAATGCTGGAGTCTAGTGAGCAGCCAACAGCACTGCTCCACTGCGAGGATTCATCTGTAGTTTGTAAGAGTGATCCACTACAGGTCTGAGGTTTGTTCTCAAGGATACAGAAGCAGACAGACCATTTCTTAGAAAAGAAAATAAAGATAAGGCTGCTATCTCCTGAGCTCTAAAAGAATAGCTCCAGGCTACTGAGCATGGATAAACAACTTCCTGCCATTTACTTTCTCTTTGACTGACTTGTCTTTGAAAATAGAACAAGGAAATAAGCAGACCAAACAACAAGGAAAACATGAGCTACATTTCTTCAAAGCATTAAATCTGTGTGTACTTTAAACAGGTGTCAAGGGCGCGAGGATCATGAAACTCACTCGACACTCTAATGGCTGTGTAAGCCTTCAATTCCAAAAAGAAAAAGAACAGGTGTGACGTTAGGAGCTGCGTGACAACACAAGCTATCGGCCATAAATCGTCCCAACAGACCCCCCTCTGCTCTCAAGCCCCTCTCAGCAGATTTCGGGCTGGGGAAGGTGTCAGCTCGGCAGCTGATGATGGAGAACAGTCCACAAAAAAAGTCACCTCGCACTCCTTCCTATCTACCTCGGAAAAGTCCTCGGAGGCGCCAGCAGTGCACCCCTCAGACTGAAGGGCTGATTAGAGAGCTCAGAAAGCTCAGGACATTTCTGAGACCGTCTCCTGCACTTGGGCTTAAATCAAGCGTGTGAAAGCTGGGAAAATGTTAGTTTTCACCAGAGGAGAAGTAATGCGAACACTTAAAAACAGCCATCAAGAGTGACATTATCTCTTCAAGTAATTATGGTTTTAAGCGAAGCGGCGTTCATGTCGATTCAAACCCATTACATCGGAGAAACACACACACACAGTTAGAGCTGTAATGTCTTGATTGGTCGCTCTTACCGTCAAAGATTAAAGATGCCAAAAGGCGGTGTGTAGAAGTGCTCTGACACAAACAGAAAAAGAAGAAGTCTGGATTTTGGATTGAGGCTGGTTAATTTGAAAAAGAGCGAGATAGTCCAAGTGAAAGATCACAGAGGGATACAGTCCTGAGGAAAGACAGGCTCCAACTCAGAGCAGCACATGTGCCATCGACTGCTGCACAAGTGACAACTGCTGGTGGGACGCCTCACTCTGGACGCCCCAAATTACCCTTCTCACTGGACACCCCCAGCCCCCCTGCCTTCCTCTGCTGTTGCTGCTTCTTGTCACCCCCCCCACCCCCCCCCCCCCCCCCCCCCCCCCCCCCCCCCCCCCCCCCCCCCCCCCCCCCCCCCCCCCCCCCCCCCACGCCACACTCAGTACACTCATCTCCCCCCCTCCCCACCAATAAACCCCTCCCAGGTCACCCTTTGCCCTAATATGCCTTCAGCAACTGCCACCAATTCATCAGTGTCTGTGTCGCCAATTGACGTGCTTGTTGTTCGGCTCTTTAGAGGAATGTTCAGCCCATTTCCTGCAAACAGTGTTTACTTTAGGGCCACAACTAAGACTCATCTCCATCACTATAATTCTGTCAAATAACTGATTCATTTGATCGTCAAGAATATGTATGAAAAGGTTCAAAAATGGTTGTATAAAAGTCCCCACAGCTGGAGTCTTGTCAGAGCGACACTATAAAAGAAGAAATTTCAGCTGCTGGAAAAAAAAAAAATCTATTATCATTAATGTGTAATCGATCACAGAGACCAAGGCTGTGTTACTTCTTGTCATCGTGAAATTGTTACGAGGCAGTTACACACAGACTTCAAGCTCTAATTTCAGACATGGACAAACTCAATGGAGGACACCCAGCTGAACAGGGTTACATCTTTAACTAATAAATACCATCAAGAAGACTTTTTGCATGAACTTCCAGAACAGAAATCTGGATTAAAATAAATGTTTTCTGTTCACTAGACTGACATAAGAAAAATGGCCCAAAATCTCAAGATAGACCCAAGATTTTTTGGGGTGACCGGTTTCCTTTGTGACAGTTTATGTCAGGACAGTTTGGGACGGTGGTGAAAAAGTAGAGCCCTGGACTTTCCTCATCAATCTGCAGCAGTAACATTGGCGAAAATGAATACCAAGATGTTGTTCAACCTGTCACGGAGCTGAGATCAATGGGGATTGGGAAAATTAACTGCCAATAATTCTGATGATCTTTATTTCTCTGAGTCATTTAGAAAACAAATATTCTCCGTTTCCAGCGTCTGAAATGTGAGGAATTAACACTCTTCTGTTTTACATCATGGTACATTGAATGTCTTTGGATTTTGGACTGATGGATGGACGGAACAACACATTTTATAAAACGAAAGAACATTTTTAATCAACAGAGTAATCTATCATAGCCCTTATTACACAGATGGCGCTACAGAGCCGCCAGAAGGTCTCTACTTTATTTCTCCTTTGCATTTCTACACAGAACCAAATGACAGCAGCAACATGCCACTCCACTGTGTGATTTTAGACGGCATGCTGGCATCATGGAATCAAAAAGAGGCGAGACGGTCACGACATTTAACACAACAGCATCGGCCCCTAGTATGACATATAACATACGCATCAGTGGCGCTTTATAAACAATAATAATGTCCTAATATGACAGTTACAATCAGTTACCATCGCCCTCTGCTCGGAGGATAAGGAGCTCCCGGACCTCATTGTTTTCACAATTTGCGGACATTTTAGGCTGCTGGTCCTCTTCTTCAAGTTAGCCGCTACCTGCAAATTTTCTACTTTTTAAATCTCCTGTGGTAGGTCGCATGCATAACACATCATCAAAATGTCACAACGGTGCCACTAATGGTCCGGTCCTGGCTGTCCCATTTATATCAACATTGTTTTGGCGTTATTACTACCTTTGTTTCCTGCTCAGAGGCAAAACAACTCTGACCACCCAACTGTAATTTTTATGCAGAACAGCGAGGCAGCATAACTGTGTCAAAGTCCCATTTTGAAGAGGCAGGGTAAAAGGGCCTCATGCCTATAATCATTTGAAATTACATGACTAACCTTTAATATTACAACTTAGTTTTTTTATTGTTAGGAAATGAATGGAAGCCAATGGCTGCCTTGTATTAAAAATTCTGCCAGAACCCTAAAACTGTTTGGCATTCATTTAAAAATGGTAAAAAGAAGAAAAAAAAATAGTGTGTACTCAGTACAGACCCAAAGCTTGCTTATATGTGTGTGTGTGTGTGTGTGTGTGTGTGTGTGGCCAGAGAGTGGGGGAGTCATTCGCCGCCTGGCTCAGTGTGTCAGTTCCTCATCGCACACCAATCTGTCCCTCGTGCACTTGTGTGTGTACATCCTCCATTTGGATCATGAGCTGCTGGCGGTAGGACGGCAGCTGCCTACATACCTTTTGTTCCACTGGACCCTTCAAGGCCCCCCCCACCCCCGAAATCTATACACACACACACACACACACACAGCCCCACCACACAGATATACACTCACATGCTCAGCTGTCGTAGAGAGCAACAAACCAGTAATGTCTCGTGCCCCTCAGCCCAAACTCTCTACACTCGATGCTAAAATGACTCCTCTGCTGTCAAACTCAGCCGGCTGCACGGCACATCTCCCCTCCCTGTCAGCTCTGATGAAGGCCGCCGCTGACGGCTGTGATCTGAAGCTAAGTCCAAAGCTGTGGAAATCAAATCCTCACAGATCCGAACTTGGTGAGATACAGTTAGATGACCGCAAAGAGGACTGTAAAAGGAGAGATTCGCCGTCTGTGACCGTTTGCGACAGTGGCTCCGCTTCCCAAGGAATGAATCTCAGCCCGTGCCCTTTCCTGACCTTGAAATCTCCGAGGGGGCCTGGAGGGTGTGGGAAATGGGAGGCCAGGAGTTTGCTAAACAGTTGTGTCATTGAGTTTCCACACAACACAGCAAATGCATGTATGGGTGCAGGCACATCTGTGCCCAGAGCCCAACGGGTTAAACGAGGGGCAAAAATTCCAAGAGCCCATTTCGTCTTGAGGCAGTAACTTATATGGATAAATGTGAGAGGGGAGGGCAGAAAAATGAACTCCCTTCACCTATCAGGAGCAGGAAATCTGCCCATGAGAAAAATACACACCAGCACTAAACACAATAATCCTAATGTCAGAGCGCTGAGGACACAATTACTTCCACAACAAACACAGGATCTCAGTGATGGCCTTATCCGCTGCCCCTTCTCCTGGTTCTTCTCCTGCTTGCCATCCACATTTGTCGTCCATGTGCACAGCTGCCTGGGGCTCCTCCATGTTGAACACAGGGTGTTGGCCTAAAGCCTAAAATGGGGATCTATGAGCCTACCTCCGCTCTTCCTGAGACAAACGCGAGCGTTGGCCAAGACTGTGTGGTGCTGGCTACATGTGGTGGGGATCCGGCTCTGAGGAGAGGTGGGGGAGGCACAAACACTGAGAGAAAAGACATCTATTCTCTCTCTTTTCACAGAGCGGTGAGAGGAAGCAGCTACTTTGCCCAGAGGCAAGTGTATTTATGTTGAAAGGAAACACAGAAGCGTATAAGCTACAGCTCCCGCAATGATAAACATCCATCCAGCGAGCTGCAAATACTCGGGTACAGGCGAAAAGATTTGTTTCTGAGTCTTTGTTCCAAGTGAAAGGTGCGCCACCTGAGCGACGTGCAGTCACAAAGACAAACTCAAGAGGTTTTGTTGGAGACAAGCTTATTTGCTACTTTGTCTTTGTACCAAATGACTAATAGGTTTGTGAATAAACATGATATGCTTTCAAGGGTTTGACAGTGAATACCCTGATTATGCAAATCTGCCCCCCTCCCAGAGGACGGGGTAAATAAAAAAAATGACAAAGCTTTTCCTCAGTGGGGCTCGACTGTGAGCCTTTCTCTCGTGTGTGTGACCTACATTATTGAGGAATTCACCACATTATTGTCACACTCTTGACAAAGAGCATAATAAAGCTGACAAGATGCATATACGGAGGAAATACACATCCACACATTATCCATCTACACACCACATTATGTGTCAGCATCCAGATCAACAAGTGTTTTTTTAAACCTGACCAGGATCCTCGTTAATCAACACTCTCGCAGCATAAATTTGTCACCACGACACTGGAACACTGATACAATGAATGTTTTACTTGCACTTCATGTAGACGTCTGGTGATTTCAAACCATTCAGCAGGTTTTCAGTCCTCTGCGAGAACAGTTTTCCCAGAGTGCCTTTAGTGGATCAAACCAACTCACAGTCTATTTTCACCCACTGACTTCCATCTAAGTCTGTACCATAAAAATGACACTAAGATCTAATATCAGTTGAGTTTCCTGCAGTGTCTTTAAGCACAAGGGCCATCCCTTGGGTTTGGTACTGAAATCCAAACCCAAGGGATGGCCTTGAAATCCGAACCAGTGGGGGCCGGACATGCATCGGTGCTCCTGGATGCACCACCCCAGGACTTCACGCCACTGTCGTATTTCCAGCCTCACTGGCCCCGAACTTAAATGCACTCTTCCCCCACTTGCTCTCTGCCTGTACAGACCAGCTCCCGTAGCAGCTCTTTTTCTCTGCTCCTACAGCAGCTCGACTCCTCTACCCACCACTGATGTATAAAGAGAACTCTGTAGCTGATGCTGTGTCTCATGTGTGACAAAATATGGATGACAAGAGACTAGTTGTTGAGGTCAAGAAATATCCCTACCTAAACGACCCACAATCTCATCATTATAAAGACAATGGCCAAAAAGATATTACCTGGTGAGTCGAAGCTCTGGAGATCAGCTCTTCAGGTGAGGAATCAAGTTTAATAAGGAGCTGTCCACACCTGATTTTAAGCTAATGCAGAGGTGGAGGAAGAACAGATCTTTCAGTAAAAGTAGTAATAACTTTACGTGGTCATCTGTTAAGGAGCTGCTAGTCTCGCCACCAGACAATCAGAGATCTCCGCCTTCTGATAGTCTGGGGACACTCCTTTCTAAAGTGTGTTTAACACACCGGAGAAAATGGCCGGCAACAATGCAATGCCTCTTGCATTTTTTAAAAGGACATGGCCTCCCGGAAATGTGCGCTCCCCCTTTTCTTGTCCGCAAGGAAACAAACACACAGAGAGCTTAAAAATGGATGCCAAGAGATTTAAC